CACCCAGACCAACCCCCCCATCCCCCCACCAAAACCAAAATTTTATTGCAGATTCGGGGTCCTCTCGCCGAGCGCAGAACGACCCTGGTTTCAAAAGGGAAAAAAAAAAAAATTCTGGACAGTTTTTTCTCCTGTCCAGTTTACCCGAGCGGCCCCCCCGGGGCCCAACCAGCTGGGCCCAGCCGGGCGGCGTCCTCACTCAGAAATAAACTCTCAAAACTGTTATCTCATATTTAAGAAGTACCGAGTTAGACACAGTCTAGACACCAGTTTGCAAGCAAGGCGTGCTGGTTGTCGCCCTTTCATGAATATACGGCCCTGCAGGAACCCAGTTAAATTCATTCATGAAAAAATGCGTTCAGAGGCCTGCAGACAATCTCACGGCGGATGGTTCAAGCTTTTACAACATGATGTGCAGCAGCAAGCCAAACTGGATACCATCAGGAAGGCGCAACAGCTCCTGAAAGGGAGACACCACACACCTTCCTGACTCTCACCCTTCGTTCAATTGTTAAGTGGTCCAGATGGCTCCAAAATCTTCATTCTAGGTACATCAAATTCTGCTTTGTCATAAACAATCAGGCCCCGCTAGCCTTGGGAATTGCGGTATGAACCTGCACTTGCACACTGTTTCATGCTACTGTCCTCCCCCAAACACAATGCACCCTGATCACAGAAGTATACAAGCTACCTTCCCAGTCCTACAAAATCATGATGAGGGCTGCATTCAGGGGAGGACGGTAGTCTAGCAAAATGGTTGGCGACGGAAACCGCTTGCAGCTTCACTTGAACAAAAAATTGTTTTGAACATTTCAGTCTAAGAGTATAACATGCATTGCATTCTGCACAAACTGCAGACAAATAAGGATGCAATGCCTCACGTGGACATGTGGAACTCCATCATGTGAAAAGAACAGGTCAGCAGTTTGCAGCAGCTTCTCAGCGTAGAAATTCACAACGCGCACAGAACTGCAGACTGAAAATCTGACAGGCACCATCCCAGAGGGAACAAATGGTAGAAAACTAGAAATGGACATAGAGAACCATTTCACCATTTATGCAAACTTCAATGTTAATTAAGAAAAGAAAAAAAACAAGAAACAATGTTGTGCTATACACTGTTAACTCACAAAAACCGAGGCTCCTAAATGAAAAATGCCCGCAAATCAGATTATATTATTTATATAAGCTTCATAATCTCCTTAAACCGCTAGTACATGGCCCCAGCCTTGTGGAGAATTGTCCATCACCTACTCCGAAAAAGTGGGAGCCAACGCGGCGTCAATAGAACACATTGGCAGCCGGAGTCGCGCTTCAGCCTCCAAAAGGGGCCTGCACCCGGTGTATGGCATGTACTGGTGGTTTGACAGTACATGAAGCACATGGGCACTGAAAACATGTGTGGTCATCCTCAGGGCACACTCACACAAGGACTGGCCTGAACGTATCCGGTCATAATTACAGCCACTTGCGTTAACAAAGTCCTAGTGTAAGTATGTCCTCTATCATGTCATGCAGGATAATCCATTCCCTTTTGACTAGAGTGAAGGCAGAAGCCAGATCAATTTGCATATGGAAAGTCACAGCTCAGCAGGCAGTGTTTCCTGAGCGCAGAGTGCCACCCACAGCTCTACAGGCATTAAACCATATCATTAAACCATCACAGTACCCCGTACAAGTTCTCTGTTGTACCCCTTTGATTTTTCCCATACCAAAAAGATCAGAGAGAGCGAAAAATAGTTGTACCCAGTTCTTAAGAGAAGTTAAGACAATGGAGTCTAAAATGATGTTATCCAACCAGCCTTTCTCTAGGCTATGTGATTCAGGAATAACGGGCTTACTCTAGGACATGTGATACAGGTCCAGGGTTTGAAACTTTGCAGAACAGAAACAACACACAACGGCAGGAACTACTTTGCAGTTGTAACTCTGAGGTTGACGTAACACAAATAGCTTCGCAACATGTCCAACTCTTCTTCCTCGTTTTTGTTCTACACATCCCCTACCTTTCCCTGGAATCTTGCTGTTTGTGGGATAATCTGGTGTCCGCAGTTTTGTCCATGAAAAGCAAAAAGCACTAGCCCTGAGGCATGTCCTCCTGACAACAAGGTCTCAATCCCACTGGATCATGATAGTTGCCTCCAGGCGAGCATTCATCGGCAGTTCTTCATCATTTGAGATTCCAGAATGAAAAACCATCCAGCCTTTGCAAGCCCACTTAAGCCTGATTCCAATGGAATCAGTGGACAAAAGCAGGCGTGGGCGTCAGGGAAAAAAAAGCCAGGGGAATCAAACATCGGTTTCAGTAAACTAACGGCCAGTGCAACCATGCAAGGGTACCAGTAAACTAACAGCCACTCGAATGAGGCGTGAGTGACACTAAAATAATGTCCATTGTCCAGTGGAATCAGGCATAACTGACAGACACACTGCAAGCAGGTATGGGTGCCACGAAATTAACGGGCAGTGGAATCAAGCATGGGTGCCACTAAACTAGTGTCCAGGGGAATCAGGCACAAGTGACAGACCCACTCTGCAAGCAGGTATGGGTGCCACCAAATTAACGGGCAGTGGAATCAAGCACGAGTGCCACAAAACGAATGTCCAGTGGAATCAGACGTAAGTGACAGACACACTCTGCAAGCAGGTACAGGTGCCACGAACTTAACGGGCAGTTGAATCAAGCATGGGTGCCAGTAAACTGCACAATCCATAGTTTACTGCAACCAATGGCTGGTTCCACTGGCACTGCCAATCCCAGTTGGCCAGAAATTGTCCCACTCCTTGGAACTGGTGCATCCAACCTCACCAATCAGAAAACATTGACAGGAATGGAGAGAGGCGTACCTTCCCATCTAAAGCAAACAGAGGGAATCCTTCAGAGCAATAGATTTTGTACTCACTTTGATATTTAGCATTTCTCCCATGCCAATCTTCACCAAGC